TAAAAGTTAGAGTGCGTTTCCCTCAGAGTGAAGAGCCTGGGTAAATAGCCCCCCAGGTAGAGAGCATTCATAGGCAGTGTAGGCTGGAAAGGGAGCAGAAGAATGTTCAAAGACTTTGTTACAGAGTTCCTGTCATTTAAAATCTTCAGAAATAATAATAAAAACCCGTTTATTTTCCTCCTCGTTGCAAGGAAACTAAAGTCTGCAAAGCAAGGCATGGCTGTTTTGTTTGGCCAGTAGCCAGCCAGACAAAGTATGACCAACGACATGTAAACAGTTTGTATGCATTTCAATGGGAAGTTTACTTCAAAGCTGAGTTTTGGAAACAAAGATTTGAGCACAGATTTTTTCCCCCCTATTTTCTTTCTTTTTTTTTTTTTTAAAGTGCAGGCGGGTTGTTCTTTGTATCAGTGCGAATAGCTGGATTAATAGCCCTAGAGCCTAAAATCATGAGTTCTGTGATACAGAATGGACACAGGAGTTATATGAGCTTTCTCTACACAGTCTGCTACTGTGCTTCTGTCTCAATTTAGAGGAACCACACCTGGAGACACATGGGTACTCGGGATGTGTAGCTCATTTTTCCATAGCCTCTGTGAGGTTGTCAGCCCCAGTTGTGACACTGTGTTGAGGTGAGGCCACCTTTTTTTTAGTTTTGGACTGTGATCAATAGCTCATTTTGACTTTGGTCTTCAAACAGCCTTGAGAGAGGGAGCAAGCTGTATGCACTACAAATACAAGAATCCCAAGTTATCAGCCAGAGGATGTTTTTTCTGAGGTAACTGTAAGCAAGTTCACTACTGTAAGTCATTGTGCCACAATAGCATAGCACAGAGATGCTCCTACTCCTGTAAATGTGCTGGATCAGGTAGTGGGAGCTATATCACCTCCTTTGAAATGCCGTTCCACTTTGGAGACTTCTGTCATGGTTTCCAGCATAGCTAGGCTGCTGCTGGTACCCAAGCCTGTTCATTTAGGGCTATCTACTGCATTGCGTTGTTCAGCGTAACCGTGCCCTCATTCTCTTCCCTCAGCCATGGATCCTCAAGAAGCCCGTGGTCAGACTAGAAATAACTTGCTTAGCCCCATAAAATACAGTTAACTTTTTCTCAGAGAAGTTTTCTGATGGGCCAAATGGCCAAAGACATTTATAGGGACTGCTGGGGAAAAGAAGCTAACAGGTGTGGTTTCTGCTTGAACTCACCAGCATGAATATGGGCATCTCCGGCTATAGCGGCAGCAGTAAAATTGCCATTCACGGTCAAGCACAGATGGAAAATACTGACTCTGGAAACCAGCCACCAGCCCATTGTTTGAGCAGGTTTGATACCTAAGAAAGAGGATAAAGAAGAGAATACATAAGGAAAACATGATATTAGATTCCCTGATAGTTTCAAGCATTTCTGGAAACAGCATTAAAAATTTTGATTCAGGGTGGAAGCTAAGGGTTTGGCTTTGTATTGAGAAGCACTATATGCACTTGCTGTGTATTGAGTAACCATTTTATATAAGAAAGCAGCAGTAGTTAACTAATAATGTCTTAACATTTATGTTCCACTTAAAACTATTTAAACTGTTTTTAAGTATTTAATCATTCTAGTATGCTAATCAGGCAAGAAGATTGTTCTGGTGTTGACATTCTCAACTGTTTACAAATCATGAGACTGACTTCAAAATAGTCCATTAATACTTTTATCTTTGACTGTTGGCGTTTGAGCATTTGGGGTTCACTGGAATAATTTTTTCAACTGCTTCTCTACCAAAAAGAAGCCTTAGAAACTCTTTTATAAGAGAAGTTCAGCAATTTCTTTTATTTTATTTCTTTCTCAATTACCTGTCTCCAGGAGAAGGCACTCTTAATTCAAAACATTATAGGCTTGTGATGAAATAATGAGTTGATAACAAACACATGAGGAAGACTGAGACTCAGATGTTATGATATTATAAGACTCACATAAATTTTATGACTGGATTTTCAAAAGAAAAATCTGCTGCTTCATGATTTCTGTGTACTCAGGAATTCTGTCATACACGTAAATCACTGCCTTCAAGTAAAATAGACATGATCTCTAAGCATGCAGATATATGCTTCTCTTTCTGCACACCTTACAAGCATCTGGACACTGATACCCAAAGTAATTCAAGTGATGACCCGTTTGAATAGCTTGCTTCTTGGAGACTAAAGACAAGGAGAGCGTGAAAACAGACAACCCATTAACTCAGCTATTGAGTGCTCATTCTCTCAAGCACCCCCCTAGCCTTCTGGAGAAAATTACAGGAATTCAGTTTCTTCCATTTCCTTTCCTTTTCTTTCTTTTTCCTTCATCAAGGAAAACTGGCAGCCTAGAGCTGTAGCAAACCTTTCTTGTGATACCATAAAATCAAATACATTGATATATCCAAAAGACACTTTCAGAAGTAACTTTGTGATTAAAAAATACCAAAAATTTCCTCTAGTTTCATTCAGTGACCTCCTAATTTATTTTAATGAGCTTGGAGTTCCCAGAAGGGAAAACACATCATCAACAGAGTTTGGTGTTTGGAAAGTCATTCACTTGTGCACACAGGTGTTAGCGCTTGTAAAGCGTGAGGCTCAAGTGTTTGTATGCAAAAGCTGAAAAACTAATCAATTTTGACCAGTGCAGGGATGAATTCCTCTGCCTAACTTTCAGCTTCCACCTTTGAACCAGTGGTCTCTTCCGTATGTCCCTTCCACTGTGTTGTGTTGTTCAGACAAGATTATTTACATTTGTTTGTGTCCCCGCATCTCCCACGTTGCTGGGGCCACACATACTTGCTGTGCTTTGTGAGACTCTTTGGAGGACCTTCAGAGTTAAGCAATGATGGGGACTCTGAGTTGCTATGGTATCACACCAAGTAAGGCAGTTTGGCTCTCACTCAGAGTGACTTTGATAGGAAGTTGCTCTGTTTTTTGGCACATAGGCCATGGGAACATATGGCTAAGACTCTGTGTAAACATATTGGATAGCTGCAGATGATTGGTGTTATCCTGATGGAAGAAAGGTTGATACACAGAAATATAGGGAATGGTTGTACCTGTTGCAAGATGAGCATTAATCTGTGTAAAGCAGAACCAAACTTGTGTCTCTTCATCTTCTTCTGCCTCTCCCCCTTCCCAGTTACATGGTTCCACTGCCCAAGTCCTTGTGCCTGTGGGAGATTTTCTAGCAGTTTTGCAGAGGTGCAATAACGGGAGCATTTCGTTCCTCCTTTTCCTTTGCACTTCCTCTCAGAGGCTCAGCATTGCCCTGCAATTTCCCATCTCCACTGATCAGCATCTGATATTCTTGTCCTTACTTGTCTTTGTGGGAGGTTCTTCCTTCTCTCCCCATCTTCCTTTTCTCTCCCCATCTGCTCACATTCAGTCTGGGAAGTCCTGCCCTCTTTCCTGCTCTCTTTGCCCTACAACAGTTTTTATTTTCTTGACACCTCTACTAATACAGTCCAATTTTGATGGAAAGATTCATTTTGAGAGAGACGTCACTGACGGACCCTTCCCTCTATAGTGGATTGAAAAAAATCTAGCTAACATAACACTCCTATGTTTACATGCATACATATTTGGGCATCATATTTAGGAAGGTTTGGTTATTTTTGATCCTGATTCTGTCTTCTAATGAAAAGTTTGTTTAAAAAATATTTGGAATTGCCTTAAAAATTGGTTTCTTAGATGGAGAGTATAACTGGACATAAGTCATGTCTTATAATTAAATTGCAATTTTATTTTAAAAACATTCAAAGTAAAATTTAAAACACACTTTTAAGCTCATGTTCATTTCTCCCTCTCTACTTCTGTCTCATACAGACAAAGTCTTGCAATCTGTTATTCAAGCTCAATATTGGGTTCAGTGAAAGAAAGATAATAGTGATGTTGAAGTACTTTTCTTTAGCTTTGAGATAATACAAGATTTTTTCCCCTGATCTTTCTAATTTTCAAGTCAAATCCAGATATTCCTCCAAAAATGAAGAGATGCTCTCAGAAATCAGAGTGCTTATTTGTGAGCTCATATAAAATCTTTTCTTCTCTTTCCTTTTCCCAGTTGGCCGTTTTCCTACAAGCAGAAAGTAATTCTTCAAGGGAAACAAACAATCCCTCCCCACACACCTTTTTAGTCAGATGCTCTATGCACTATGAAACTATGAAACCAACACTTTATATTTGAGGATTTCTTCCTTTTCTATTGAATTCACTATTCCTGTCACAGCAAATCCTGAAAACCAGTATGGTGAATAAAAACTAGTGATTCAGGACCTTTGATTTATGGCCAAGTGAAAAAAATGCCTTTTTTCTAGACCCACTCTGTAGCGCTTTTGTTATAGAGGATAATTCAGGATTTGGAGTTAATGTCACTGGGTTCTCCTCACTCGTGAAATCCTGACATTGCTAAGAAGAGAGGAAGATACCTCTTAGAAGGTGAATGCAGAAGAGCATGCGAAACCGGCTGGGACTGTGTGGGATTAAACTTGGCAATGGATAGCTTGTTTTGTTTTTCTAGTTGGCTCAAATTGCGTTGCACGATGAGTTGCCTTTTGGATCTGGTATTGGGAGAAGAGGAGGTGAGCTGGCTGGTAGGTGGGGGAGTGGGAAGATTGGTGGTGGTGAGGGTCAGGTGCTGTTGAATGGGAAGTTCCTTCCCTTTCCTCGTTTACGTCTGTTGGAAATGACTGCGGTTTCATAGAAAGTAAGTAAACTATAGAGCCTTGTTTTGGGAGGAATTCTGTGTAGTAACAGGGATATGATAGCTGAGACTTTCCCGGCCTGCTGCAATTGCTGTGAAAAGCCTCTCCTTTGCCAAATCTTCTTCTGAACTGGTTAATGAGAGTTGTACCATTGAGTTCTGTCATGGCAAGCAACCAAAGTAATCATCTATGTTATCGGTTTAGTTCAGGACAGGACTGCTTTCCTTGTTCACCAATGAGCTTTTATCTGTGAGACCAAACTAGAGCTGGTTTGAAACAAACCCAGTCAAAATGCATATGTGGATTTTGGGTCCACGCACGAACTGTTTCACCCTACAGATCCACTTAAATTGTGCCACATTATTTGCAAACATTGATAGAACCTCGGCGACCAGGCGTGTACCTCATCGACTCAACAGTTGCATGCCAGACTGAAGACAAATACTACTTGCAACAGTGTAATTGTTTTGAGCAATGGCACCAATTGTGGTGACACTTCATAATTATGCCTACATCTTATTTTTGCTCTTTGCTAGGCAAAGCCCCAGAGTGTTGTGCCCCATCTAATTCTGGTGCTGTGTTGTAAACCTGTCGCTGAGGGCCCCTGTCCCTCAGATACATCAGGAATTATCCTGAGCAGCATGTTGTCCTGAGGATGACAACCCAAAGAGGAAGCCTGTTTACTACAAATCCGCTCAGAGAAGCCCAAGTCAAGATGCAGTAAGTGGTGCTGTTAGAGCCTGCATTGAGCCCCTGCCGCAGTGACTGGGTAGCAGTCCCTGAAGCTCTCTGGAAACATGCAGAGTCTGACACACAGCTCAGTAGTCACTGGGTCATGCTGCATTAAGGGCAATTTGTTCCTTGTAACAGGGTGGCCTGAGAGTGTCATTCTGTGTGCTTCAAAAAAATCCCACTGTTTTGCTGTAGAGCAGATGGCTCCTGTAAAACTTGCATCATTAATTACTTTAAAGTTATTTCTCTAGAGCCTGTCACAGCAGAATGAATCTATGAATTATGGAGATATGTCAGACATGGCAAGCCAACCCAATAGAAATAACACTGCATGCTTTCATCTGCAGTCCTCCCTGGAGTGAATACAGAGAGAGGTAGCCTAAGCTCACGCAGCTGGTAAGACCACAGTTAGAGTGTGGGAGGCATTTTTTAATGAGACATTAAATAGACTGTTTTCCTGAAGTGTTTTTTTACCAAAACCTGTTACTTTCAATATCCAAAACTTACCTTCCTTTTGGTACAACTGCGGAGGGGAGGCCCTATCCTGCTCTCCTGAGTTATTTTTGTGGAGTGTCCTCCTCTGTGTGGTTTGGTTAGTTGCATGACGAAAGCTAATTTAATGGTCAGTCTGTTACAGATGAGTGGGGAGAGATAAGTGGCTGAGGGCAGGCTCAGGACACTTGAAACACTGGCACTCAGATGAAGGGAATGACTTTTCTGTGTTTGATTAGGCCGTGCCAGTCTGCAATGGCCACTTCTAGGAGGAGTCTCCACTATCTGTTGTGGGGTGGGGAGACGACTTCCGCATGCCAAAGGCAACCTCATTATCATCTTCAGCTATCTGTTTCTTTCACTTAGGGATCAATGATGACTTTCTTTTTCCTCCCCACCCAAAAGGAAGGCAAGGCCCTAATCACCCTGTTGATTTCTTCCTGACAGATACTGATGAGGCCTCCCTATCTACAGAAACACCCCTCTTCTCCTCAGATGCTCCCACTGGACTCAGTCCATTGCAGCTGTGCTAAGAGCTTGTAGCACTATCCCTTTAACATAAACCTAGTGCTTTGAAGAAAATTAACTTGTTTGCGTAGATAGCACAAATGGGAACATTTTGAAACGGCAGCTTGATTATCGGGTTTGGGCAATACAGCCTCAGATTTGAGACTTGGGATTGGTCAGAGATTTAGGACAAAATCAGTTCTTTGCAGATATACTGGCGTGTGCTGCCAGCGCCTGAACAGGAGGCTCCTGCAGACACATCCTTTGCTCATGAGTCTGTCTTTGCGCCTAGTTTGTGGAAAATAGGGTTGTGTGCCTACTTGAAGGATCTGCGTGCGTGTGTTTGTGCACTTAAAGAGAAGGCAAAGGAGAGTGAGAATGGGAATGGGGAGGGAGAATCTAGATATCTGTTTTTTCCAAGTCCCATCCAAACACTTTCTCAGAAGTCTAAACAAGGAAAAGAGGTAATAAACATGCATTAAATACCACTTGGCTGGAAATGTTTCTGCTTTGTGCCTTATGGGTAACTGGGAGTATATTGGGGATATGGCATGATTCCATCTGTATTACGTGGTGTAGAACAAACATTTTCTCCTGGAAGGAAACGTTGCTTGTCTTTCACTGGCAAGCTTTCATTCATTTGTTTGTTTGATCCCTGTCCTTTGGTACTTTCAGGTAAGAAGAAATAGTTTTTCTTGAGTACCTTGTTCAAAGACTGGTCTGTAAAGACAACTCTGTAGTATTCAGTGAAGCAGTGAAGAACAGTCTCACCTGCAGTCACTCAGACCTTACCTTTTCTTAGGTGGTGAAATATTTACCCAAGATCAAACTTCCTCCAGTACAAATGGAGCTAAAAACATAAGCTTTAGTCTGTCTCAAAAGGCAGGATTCCTTGAGCATATAAATAATTAGAAGGAGTGTGTAGAATCTGGGGATGTCCTGAAGACTTATCTCTGCTCCAGACATAAGTATTTCCAAATCCAGGAACAAATTCTGCTCCCAGTATTGAATAGCATCTTGGTTAGCAGATAGCCTTTTCAGAGGCAGTAGGGCAGAGGTGTTGGGACAGATTCAACAAAGCCTTTGTACATGTACTTAACTTTAAATATATACACAGATTAATGAAGCTGAGAAGGTATCACTGATAATCTCCTCCAATCTGTTGCCAAAATTTTCTCCATGAGTCTTATAACATGTTCACAGGTTTCTCATGTCCATTCAGCAAAACATAAAAGTACATGGTCTCTTCAGAAGTGCATGTACACATATGCTTAACTTCAGAGATGCGTTTATTAAGCGAAGCACTTATTGTTAGATGTATTCTGAAATGCCAGTAGGTAATTCTAGGCAACTGTCAGAGGTGATTGGTCTTCATGAGTCTGCTTCTGGAGAGAGATGGGGTGCCACAGAGGGCAGTTTTTAGAGTACCTGTTTCTCTCCATTGATTCTGGAAGGGGGCAGAGGTCATAAATTAGGCATTGTGATTAGATGCCTAATGTGGATCTGTGACGTTGCCCTCTTTCTGTTGAATAATTTTTTCATATCTGTAAGATGCAAAGTCTTACAGGTTTAATCCTAGAAGTCCATAAAATACCTAGTGTTAGTGTAGGAAGCAAACTTACCTAAACCAGCTCTGCCAGTGGTTCCCTGCTGCCCTCCAGTCCCCCAACTCTCCCATCCCTACACTTCCCACATCCATTTCTGCCATTTCCCCCCCGGTGCTAATGGCCAAGGAAAATAATGAGTTCGAGACTCTTTTTTCTCTCTGCTTTATATTCCCACTTCATTTTCTCTCTAAAGCTTTTCTTGGTTTGTTGTCTTTTCTAAAGAAAACTCTCTTGGGTTTGTCTCTGTTGTGCAGCTGCACAACAGTCAGGAATGGTGATTTGCGAAACGCCATAGACATAGTTTGTCAGAGGTCATTTTTTGGTGTTTCTGCCAGACTAGTGTTTCTGGAACATGGCTGAGAAAGTGGAGGGAATTCGGAGGAGAGCTGTGTGTATGATCAGTTCTTGCTTACGAGTGTTGGAATATAAAACTTCCAAAGGAGAACCAGAAGAACCAAGACGTGTTCAGCCTGAAAGCGAAAGCATGGGTGAAGGTGCGCAGGTGAGGGAAAGGCATAGCTGCTACCTATTAATAAGTTAAAGAGATTTTACAAAGGATGCAGTGTGCTTGTTCCCATTACTCAGTGAAGGTAGAGCAAGGAATAAAAAACCTCAATTACAGCAAAGGAAATGTAGCTTAAATTTTAGGAAAAACCTTGGCAGCTTTGTAGTTATTGGTGGTACAAGCCATTGAGTCTGCCTGGATGTGATGTAAGGTAAGACAAAATACCCTGTGAGGCAGAGCCGAAGAAGGAATATTACAGTCCATCCTACCAGGATGGGGAATGGACTAGCGAATCCAGCAGAGTGCTATGTCAGCTGACATGAGGATGGATTGCTCACCAACAGATTGGTTCGTCAGGAGATCAGCGGGCAAACAGAGGTGGCCAAACAGGAACTAATGGTACAGGTTGTGACTCATATTTGTGGTCCCACTTGATTACTGAGTGAGTCTCTTTAGACTTGGGGATGGCTCCAAATAGCACTGAGCTGGGCATGGAAGAGAGAGAGAAAAGAGAGGCAGCTATGAGAAGTAAGGCTGCCAAGAGAGAAGGTGTAGGATTGTCAAAGGCCCCATAGGCTACATCTGTGCCGTCACATTAATTTGAGGTTTGAGTTTGCACTCAGACACTCCAGGCTGTCTGCCTGCTGGCCCACACTTTCACTCCAGTCTGGGATGAGCCTGCTGTGTTCTTGGGCAGCAGCATCTGGGCACAGTGAGGGACGTGCTGGCTTACAGCAAGCCTCTCTCCATGAAGCACTGTAGATGCAACCAGCTCAGCCCTGAGTGCAGAAAACTGCAGAACACAACCAGGCACAGCTAGATAAGATTTATGGAAATAGCCCAAGTAATTAAGAGAACAAGTTCATCTTTGCAAAGGGGTATGTGATCCCTAATCACTTTGGTGTATTCCCTCCTCCTCCTCCAAAAACAGATAGAAAGAAGGAGATCTATGCAGAGAAGACAGATAGATATAAGGATGTTGGACTGGAAAAGTGAGCTAGGGAAGAAATAACTAAAATAACTCCAAAATCTAGGAAAGAGAGTGAAACAGAGTTAAACACATTAAAGAGGGGTTGGAAAAGAAATACATTTGGAGAAAAGAGAGGGTTGGCAATAGGAAAAAATGTAGGCAAGAAAGAGGACAAAGTGGAAAGATTTTTTTAAGAGGTGAAGGAAATGAGATTTAGATAATACACTGTGGATGTAGTCATGCTAAGCATACAGAGCATGGTGATGAATATGGCCCCATGGTCAGACAGCAGAAGAAAATGTTCTGTATAGACTTACATAGTATCCTGTTTGTGAGAAGTGAACTTGAGCAATTGCTACCAGGGATTTTTAGAATGAGAATAATAATTTTATTTTGAACAATAGAAAGATCTAATTCAAAATTACTATGCAATAAGTAGAAATTGCATCAGAGTATGAAGAATGAAGAAGTCATCCAGGATTATCACAGTGTCTTCTTTCTGCCTGTTTTGCAGCCCTCTCTCTTTCTTTTCAGCTCTCATTCCAAAATTAAGTATAGGGTCAATCTTTTTTTCCTTAGCAATTGCATCAGCCATAGGAATGTATCACGTGGTAAATGAAAAGTATGAATAATTCAGAACAAAATTTTGAATCATTTAAAAAGCAGAAGCTTCACATTTCATTGCTAACCTTTTCCCATGTAACATGAAATCTACAAAAATCACATTGCAATTTCTGGAATAAAACCATTTGAAGTATTTGAAAATATTCTTGCATTCATTTCATTCTGTCCCAAGAATATTTCAAACTCAGAGTTTTCCAAAACCATGTTTCATATTTCATGAAAATACCAGAAGGTAGTTAAATACTGGGTATGTGCTGCCTAAACATGAAACACTACACATATTTCCAGAAATTATTGTGGCTATAAAATGTGATCACCTTTGCCTCTAAGGTTGATGGAAAATGTAACATTTAGTTAACCAAAACTGACTGTATTAGGGAATTAACATGATCTTCTGCTGTCATTATCATGCATATATATGCCACCATCATAGCTCGTTAGTGTGGATTTTTGGCTCCTGTAATACAAGCAAGACTAGAAAACAGCCTTTGACTGGGCCTAAGCCAAAAAACTTAGCAACAAAAACACAAAGAGAAAAGCCAGAGCAATACAGAGAAGATTTTTTTTTTCTAGTGATAAGAGCAGGAGGACGGAGTGAGGAGTTTTACAATTTGTTCTCCAGTTTAGACACTGATTCAATATGTGGCCTTTCAAGAGGGACTTTATCCTCTCCTCACTGAAGGTTCATGCCTCATTTTCCTCACCTGTGAAACAATAGCAAGACAGAACCACTTTGCAGCTGAGGTTGTGAGTGACCAAACGACACAGCATTTCTAAAGCACACTAGCACACTGAGACCCTCCAGCAAGAAATTGCTACAGAGAAGGCAAATGTGATGCTGATCGCCTCACACACATGCATTCTGATTAATGAGTCTCAGGCAGTCGTTCAGGGCAGTGAAGCTGCTGGTTATGACGACATTAATATGCGTTTGCAATGCTCTGACCGCAGTATTAGCACCCACATTCTACAGGGGGTATCAGGGCTGTGCCCTCCGGGGATGGTTGGGGGTATCCTACCATTCGGTTCCCGCCCTGTTGATCTCTTCCCACCAGCACTCTGTCGGCTCACCGAGGCTCTGGGCCGCCGGCATGCAGGCGTAGTTCCACAGTCTGTCGGAGCCTTCCTTCTTGTTGAAAACACTCCTGACAGCCACGATCACCTGCCCGTGCGGGCACTGGAAGTTGAAACCCTGCCGGTACACATTGGCCCATTCATCATTATCTCCGTAGTTATAAGGACCGTAGTAATAGTCACCGTACTGGCCCCATGCCACGGTCACCAGAGGCAGGAACACACAGAGAAGGACGAGGTCCATCCTGAGGATGTTCCTGGCTTAGAAATGCCCCACTGGTTTGTTGGGCTGGCCCTTTTATATCGCCTCTAACATTTGGCTTCCAGATGTTATGCTTCCAGATCCAAGTGCAATGTGTCATTTCTTAGCAAACCTTCTCTGAGTTACAGACATGTCCAATTACTTTTAAGGTGGAATTCTGCAAGCACAGTGAGTCTGCAGGCCGAAAGAGCAGGGTCTTCTCATCACCACAAACCACCTGTGATCCCTTGCTGCAGAACTACTGTATAGAGCAAGAAACACATTGTAGTACAACTGTCACAGACATCCCACTTTAATCCTTAAGACAGCAGTTAAGTTTTAACACTACTTTATTTGAAATTAAAGCTCTATTTGAAGTTGCCATTTTCCATCATTAGTAACATGCAACAAAATATGACCATGTGTGTCCCCCCACCCTCTTTTCCCTAAATATGTGTGCCATGATTCTGCCAGTCCCTAGAAAGAAGGGAATTGGGCAAGATTGGGGAATTCACTGCTCCTGTTGTAAAAAATCCTTTAGACATTCTGGTTTGGTTTGGTTGGAGGGGAGGTGGAGCCCAAATGACTGAGACTCTGGCTTGGCATGGAAACAGCCCATCCTGAGAAGTAGGGCATCGGCCTCTTCCAAGCAGAATTGATTTTGTGAGCACTGTAAAACTGTGGACTTGGCAGATGTTTTAATGTGAGGATAAAGCACATAAGTAAGTTACGATGACATAAGCTTCATGTGTCACCATAGCCTATTGAAATCTTTGAGCAAGGCCCTTTAAGCTACCTTGCATTTATCATGGGCTAGAAACATGGGGCTACTGCTGAGGAACTGCTGTGTTGCAAATTCAAAACCTGACTTGCCACTTGGAAATGTGTTTGTATGCCACATCCTCAGGTAATTTCTTTATCAGGAAACCATCCTATTCAGGAGAGTGTGGAACGGTGTGCTTTACTTACGTGTGTACTTGACGCATAGAAAACTGTGGGACGTGAGCATGTTTTAATAAGTAAGACGGTCCAAAGTCAATCTAAGTCTACATATGCATATGTTGCCTATGCTGTGTTACTAGTGAAATGTGTGACACTTGGAACAGCTCTAGATTCAGATCCTGTCTCTTCCAGTGAAATCACTGCAAAGGATCCAGAGACTGCTTCCTGCTGCAAGTTTCTCCTCCACTCTTTTCACTACCCTTCTCCCCCATTTGGGCCATGCACAAAACAAAATATGTATGAGCTTTTATTCTGTTGCTGATACTATCAGAAAGAAGATCTGTGATGGGTAACAGTGGACTTGCTCTTCTCTAGGGATCTCCAGACTCATCATGCCTGGTCATTGCTTTGCAGGAGCATAAGCACCCCAGGAGGCGGGTGCCTTTACTAACCAGCCCCAGATCTCAAAAGCTGCCTTCAGCCTTATCAACCAGGTGCTTTTGTGCCTTTAGCTAGTGGCTGTTTTGAGCAGAGCCTTGTTTGACAAACTGTAAGCGGGGGTTGAGCTCTTTGCCAGGAACACAGTGCAGCAATATCTTGATTGTCCATGCTCGCAGCCAGTGCAGATCCACATGAACCTGGCAGCTGAGAGTTGCTGATCTAGCTCAGTGCCTCACCTCCAGCTGTAGCAGCCCCAGATGCCGGGGGAAGAGGGCTATGGAGACAGCACAGAACAGCCCTTTCCTTGGAGCTGCCCTTCTCTAGATCTTAGGTAACATTAGGTGACACAGGTAGCCAAAATCTAAAGAGAGAGGAAATTTAAGGTTAAAAAACCCATAGTTATCCGATGGGCACCAGACTTGAACTGCACGATCTCACATGAGTTTTTCAGCCAATTCATATTTTTTCCCTCTTACTTCCTTAGACCAGTCAACATCTGGGAGCACTGCACACTGCTGCATATGCCTGAGAGGCATTCTGGAAGACATTTTAGCAGGAAGCACGACATTATCATGTACATACGATCCTCACCTTACATAACCCTTTATAAGCACCATTCCTGGGAAGGCAGTCCTCACATAACCCACACAAAATCAGGGGAAAGAGGGGATTAGAAGGGGGAGGAGGGGTCTACGGAGAGCAGGGCACAGTCTTCCTTTGCCTGCCTTTGACTTGCATGTGAGGCTTTGAGGTGTCTGTTGAGACTTCCTACATGCAGCCTACCCTGCCTGATCCCAGTTAGTGGATAGGGTGGCACTTCCATGCTGCACTGTGATCAAGAAGTGGTTTGGCTGGGAGAAAAAGCTGTGCAGAGAAGATAGCAAACATGAGAGATGTGGAACTACAACTCCCTGTAGCAGTCATGACAGCGCAGATATGTCCTGACCAGGGACTGCCTGAAAATCTACAGTTTTCTGCATTTCTGGATCCAATGCTTTCTGGGAACTTTTAGTATTAAATTCCATGCTTCATTCTGATACTGAATAAAAACAGAAGAGAGCAGAATTTCTTATAGGACGGACATGATGGTTTTTAGTCACCTTGGAGAAGGGTGGTATTTGTGAGTGGGAGGAACTGTGATTTGAAAATTCCTGTAGGGGTTAAAAAAAGAGAATATTGTGCATACATTAATTTTTTTTCTGAGTAATGCTCATTCAGCTCTGCAGTTCACAGCTGCTTGGTTCATGGAGCAAAGCTGAGGCTACATGCGACTTGTTTCGCTAACATTTCACACCATTGCTCCAACCCAGATAATTCCACTGATGTTGCCAGTGCTGAGAGTTGCAATTTTAGCTGTGTTTCCATTGACTCACTGGCATGTTAACCACTATGCCTTATTCTGTTCTAGCCAGTGAATCAAACATAGCAGTTCAAAAGCCAGTGGCTAGAAGAACTGCAAACTAGTCTGCAGCTTGGTGATTTTGGTTGGCTTCATCTAGAGTTTGCACTAGGAGAAAACTTAACAATATTTAAAAGTCAGTCCCTCTCTGAAATTACTTATCCTTTAATGACTTTAAAAATGTCAGCTGCATGCCTTGCACATCCAAACTTTGGAAAAGCAGAAAGTGTCAATGAAGTAGTAAATATGAGGTGCTAAGACCAACCTTTCATTACCAGTTCCTTGCCGTGGAATCTATATTGGCTGGTAATTTTATTTCCTACCAATTCTTAGAAATGCTGCATTTAATCCACACAAACAAGTATTTATTTTCTGTCTTGCCCAATGATGGCAGATGAAAGTGATTATTCTTGATACCCCTGCTCCCTAGCCTAACTTCCAAGTTAGCTCTGCTTTGAGCACCGTTTGGACTACAGGCCTTAAGAGGAATGTCCTTTCCAACCTGAATTACTCTGTGTTTCTCTCCTGCTGCAGATACTAGATGCAGCATTACTTAACGCTGCAGGTGTTATTAGTGCTTTGGAGCCATTAGGAGAAATGCTGCAGTATTCTCTTACCATGCCATGTTACAGCCATGAAATGCAGAGAGATTGCAGTGGTTTGAACTAAAATCACAGATGCAGTAGTACTATTCGAATGAATAACAGTAGCCAGCTTAATGGGTTTTATTTTAGCACCAAGCTCTATACTAAAATAGAAGAAAGAACAGAAAAGCTTTATTTATTATTTGGCGAACACAGAGAGCCTAGAGCTGCAATGAGAATAGCAAGGGTTCAGACTTGGTCAGTGACAGGTAAAACTAGACCTGTGTCTACAAAACTGGGTTGCATGAAAGCAGTGTAATCTAGTTTTATTGAAGTAGCCGCACTGCTGACGTTCCTGCGTCTGCAAAGGTTTGACTCATGGGCAACTAGTTTTTTGCCCCGCTATGAGGGCAGAAGGGACGTATAAGGGTGTTCCCTCACAGCACTTCATCCTTTAGATGCACAAGAGTGATTCCATCCCATATTACTCAGGACTATAGCCAGAAGTGAAGCTTTGCATTTTGTGCTGGTGAAGAAGGCTGAGTGTGTATCCCCTAAGCCCTGAAGTCCTCTGTACACAAAACAGGTATGGCAGAAGCAGTGACAGTAGCAGCAGCATATACGTCTGCTTCCAAGCTAATGCAACTGCATCATGGCATTTCACAGTGAGAAGAAAGTGTTTTTCATGTCAGCTCATTGCATCAGTGAGGTCGCACATTTGGAACACATTTTCCATATTTTATTACACACTGTCTCAGAGTGATGCTGGCTGTTCTGATAAAGCAGAGTGGCTTGGATAAGTCAGGGAGGCTGCATGATCCATGTAAATTGGATTCAATTACGGATTACTTTTCCTTGCCATCTTTGCAGCATGACAGTTTTTATAAAAGTGTGAGGACTTGGGGTGCCTTTATTATGTTTTTGAAATGAGATTACAGAAGCCTTGGTAATGTGGAGAAGGATGAAGCTGCTAGAAAGCTGTGCTTCACAAGGGACAAAGATTGTTCTTGTCAACATTTTAGCTCAAAGTTATTACCTTCTTTCAGAGTAATGTATACAGTGAAGGCTGGGGTTCATTTGTCAAGGCTTCCTACTGTTAATGATTTTTTTCCTAGCACTTTTCGCTTGATGTTCTCAAAGTACTTTAATTAAGTTCAATCACCTTCTTGAAAAGTAGGAAAGGTTAAAACCCCCTTATTTTACACAGTATGTCCAGTGATCTCCTCAATGTCCACCAGTACCTCAGGGCTAGAAACAGATTTTAAACTCCAGCATCTAGACTGTCAGCGTCAGACTCCAGCCCTGGGAAAGCACACCTTTTCCCAACACCTTACAGAGACGCTGGTTCTACTTTGCGTAGCTCTTTCTTTGTAAAAGGGAAGCTACTGCTTAAGATCCTGTGATGCTAGAGGATATTGCAGAGCTGTTTTCTCTTTGGAAGTAGCTGTAGAAAATTCTGGTACGATACCACCTGGAATATTGCTGTGGAGGAAAAAAGCACTAGCTGCAGTGCTATTTTTCCAAGATTAACATAAGCCTTAGGATTACTTTTGTAATAGCTTCCTGCCTGCATGCGTAGTATTACATCATGGGCTAAATAGAAGCAAACAGGAAATGCAAAACTTAAGTCATAAAGT